GTCTTAGCTCTAAGTCCTCCACCGCCCAATGGGGGACTTTTTTTTCTTAATGCCGTACCAATAGGCATTAACCTTAGGTAAGCTTGTGCTTACTTTGGACTGTACCCTCCTCATCCTCTGGGGGAGGTAGAGAGGAGGGGGGGCGCATGGCCTCTGTTGTTGAGGGGGGATTCGGGTACTGGTTGGGGGTCGGGTTTATGTGTACTGCATTCTCGAATTGTCCCCTCACTACAGCTACTGCTGTGGATTTTCAGTATACAGCTATCCTTACTCAACGCGTCTATGTGTCCGGCAATCTCCAATACAAATCAACCTGTGAGGTTTCAGTGTGCAGCTTTCGTCACTCAATGCGTCTATGTGTCCGGCAGTCGCAAACGTCACTCAACCCGTTAGGGCTCATATGCAGCTATCCTCACTCAAAGCGTCTATGTGTCTGGCACTATCCAACATCACTCAACTCATGAGGTTTCAGTATGTAGCTATCCCCCCTCAACGCGACTATGTGTCTGGCAAACTCAAAAACCAATCCATCTGTGAGGTTTCAGTATGCAGCTGTCCTCACTCAACGCGTCTACGTGTCCGGCAATCTCCATCACAAATCACCTGTGAGGTTTCAATATGTGTCTATCCTCATTCAACGCGTCTATGTGTCCGGCACTCCAACATCACTCAACCGGTGGGGTTTCAGTATGCAGCTATCCCTACTCAACCCGTCTATGTGTCTGGCAATCTCAAACCTCACTCAACCCTAGGGGTTTCAGTATACAGCTATAATCACTCAACACGTCTGTGTCCGGCAGTCTCCTACATCACGCAACCTGTGAGGTTTCCGTAAGCTATCTTCACTCCACGCATCCATGCGTCACGCGTCTTTGGTAGCGCATACTATGGGGGCTATATTTGGGGTGGCGTGTTTTACAGCGCTTTGCCAACAGCTCCAAACCACATAAGTCTAGAATGTGGGGTGAAGACTACGAAGGGGGGGAGGAAAAACTCAAGCAGCAGCAGCTCAAGTCGACTGAGTGAGGAGAGAGGGGTCTTGATGTTTGCCGAATTAGACCTCCCCACGAAACGGCCAGTACGGCGCGAAACACCCCCCCCCGGAATATGGACTCCATCACTGGGCTGCCCGAGATCGATGAACATCTCGGAAGGGTGCATGCAGCTGTTGCCAACTTACGTCTCCCAGCTGGATGGAGAGCTGTCTCAGGAAGACGAGAGCCTCCCCAGAAAAAATGCGGGAAAGCTTTGGACGCCAAGTGTGAACAGGGGGTTGGGGTAGACGCCACCGAGCTATGCAATCGATTTAATGGGGTCCTTCGTTACATTTCCCGTGCAAACTACTTCGAACTTGTGAGCGCGCTGTCCCTCATGGCCGGTCGGGGTCTACCTGACCTTTCTTGGCTCAGCGGAATTCTCGCCCTGCGGAGAGGATATATTTGCGGTACGCAGCTTGTGTATGTAGCATCGAGTGCGGTCGAGGCTGTCGCGTCCCCATTTTGTGTGAAATTGTAGACTTTGCTGAAGCCGTGTAGAGAAACTGCGAGGCATGAAGGAGACGTCTCATCTTATAATGCCGCAGAGATTAACCAACGATTTAGCAAATGTGCCAATATTTGCACCAAGAAACTGTTCCCAGAGAATGGGAGGGGTCGGCAAACACTCAGCGATTTGAAAGTGGCGCACGCCGCTTTTTCGTTCAATGTGCCATGGACACGGCCTGGATCTCGAAGAAGAGTGGGTCAGAGTGGCATGCGGGCAGAGTTCACCGGCGCTCCGCAAGAAGAATGCTACGGTCACAGTTAGTGGAAGAGGTGGAGGAACGGCACTGCAGGCTGTGTGGGCGTTTCGAAGGACACGAACAATTAGACAGGCCCGGGGCGAAGATGAGGAACCCGGTACCATCTGCTTTGTCTAAGGCTTGTGATATGTCTGGAACTCACCCCGTACTCGCCCCGTCATGCACATCATAAGACATGGCATCTCACAGGCGAAGCTTTTCCTATGCAAGGCAGATCAGGTCCGACCAGGAAAGCGAATCGATGGCCTTTCGCATGGACCGTGGATTTCCCATTTGGGGACCATTCTACAGACACGAACCCACATCGGAAGTCTCGAAAATCTCAAACTCTCGTTGCTCTCGCCGGCATGGAACACCAGGCTGCCCCATATGCCTGCCAACGGGGGACGACGTGTTCTCTACGGTGGCACATTTCAGAAACCAATAAGAACGATCCTAGCTGGGCGCAACAACAAAATTCTTGTGGCCTTCAATTCAACACCTAGGCCGACCGCGTCCCCACCAACGACTCTGTAACGCGGGCTTGATCGGCGGGGGGGGGGCTGCCTAATGAGCGCCTTCTGCTCAGTGTCGGAGACCTCCAGGGCGCCCTTTGNTCTGCCTAATGAGCGCCTTCTGCTCAGTGTCGGAGACCTCCAGGGCGCCCTTTGACTATCCCTTGCAGACAAGGCATTTCTCCTTGTTGACCAGAATCCCCGCGTCGGAGACATATATATATAAAGCGAAGGGCCTTCCCATCGGGGGATGCTCGTCGGAGCGGTTGCACGCACCGTAGACCGTCGGCAACACGGTAGTCTGGTGGTGCCCCTTTAGAGTAGGTCTCGACCGTGTCCCCGGCGAAGTGGCGGAACTCTCCGGCACGAGATGTCAATTTCCCAAAATCTTGTTTCATTCCCGCAGCGAGGATGTCCACTGTGGACGGCAAGAAAGTCACGGTACCCGAGGGCGTGTGGCAGAGAAGCGAGGCCGCGACAACGGACCAGCAAGCGGTGATGCGCCAGCATTCCGCTCCCTTTGCGACCTTGTTTAACGATAGCTGGTGCATGAATGGACATCCATCACAAGTCCCGAGCGTTGATTCAGTTGCCTTGTCTACGTCTCCGTTGCTGCCCTTCTTTGGTGAGGCTGATATTATCGCTTACGATCGATCTTGGATGGTTCCTTCCATAGGGCTAACTTGTATTGGCGGCGATCGTTGCGGGGTGTCGCCATCCAGCCCATCAAGCCTCCCCCCCTCGCCCCCCCGGTTTCCCCATCATCTCGATCGGCGGCGACTGCTCGCGAATGTAATTAAGTAGGTGGCCCGCGTGGAAATAGCCGTCGTCAACTTACGCAGCAGCTGAGCGCAACGTTTGCGAACATAACCAGAGAGACGAGTCATCCCGTTCCGGCACCTGCTAATAACATTTGCCAGCAGTCCCTACCGATCGAAATGGGGGGAGGGGGGGAGGCCCGATGGGCTGGACGGCGACACTGCAAACGATTAGTGCCTTTGCAGAGGGCACGGGTGCAAGCTCCACCGATCACATCGTTAGACACCAGATTCTCGCGTCCGCGCTCGAAGGGAGACAGCTCGACACCAAGCAGGTAGACCTTCGAGTCGGCCATGGTGGTCGGACGGAGCCATGATGACCAACGAGGAGCGGGAGGAGACCCCTGGCCTCCCCCGCACCGCACGCCGAACAAGACGGGGGCCAGTACGCTCGAGCCGCTCAACATGAAGGACCCGCACGCCGTGCGACCCACCCGCGACCGCCCTACCCTCTAGGGCGTCAACGAAGCGCGCCGTCGCTCTGGCGTTGTGGACCTCGACGATACGGGCCCGGCCTTCCAAGAAGCACCGGATATGCGGCTTCAACGGGTTCGTCGTGCCGGCATCGCCCCTCTCACTAGCCCCTATCCACCCCCGCGGGGCGGCGACCCCAGAAGCGTCGACGATAAGGACGCCATCCAGGCCGCCTCTGTTTGACACCTGGTAGAGGTAGTGCGCGCTGGTGCACTGGTCGGGGATGGCGTGGCCGTCTAGGCCCGGCCAGCGCACGTTGTTGCGACAGACCTTCCGTCTTTTCCCTCGTGCTCGACAGACCCCCTCATCAGGTGCTTGGAGTTGATAGGGAAGTTGAGGCTTTTAGCCCCGAGGGGCTACACCTCAACGCCCTTCTGGAGCGGCCTCCTGCCCACTACCGCCGCCACGTCGGGCACCGTACGGCGGGTGATTTCCTCCTTCAGCAATGAGATCTCAGAGTGTCGTGCAAGGTCGGCCTTACAGTCACGTGGCGTCGAATGTGCTGCCATGAAGGGCTGACGACGCTCCGATTCCACTGGTCGTGGGACTCCTGGGCAAGCGCGGCCCAAACCATTCGCGCGCGCTTCCGCCGGGCTCAGGTCGTAGGCACCGCGGCTGCCGAAGGCGGTGGGTGTTGAACTCGACCGGGCTGGGGAGGGGGCACCGGCCCTGTCGCTTCCGCTCTTGCTGGTAGCGACCTGCGTCTGGTTTAGTGCGGCATGGCAGTTGTGTGGTGCAATGAGATGGTCCATGTTAGGAGTGCCTGAAGCTATCTCGACAAACTGACATTCGACGCCAGTACATTCGACCACTGTCACGAACGCAGCGTCGTGTGAAGGATAACATAGATAGACAGAAGAACAGACAGCACCTCCTGCGTCACACGTATACATGTGCTAGCGGGCAACGAGCCCAAAACAAAAAACTGACCTCAGGTTTCCTCTTCCGCTTCCTCAGCGTGGGCGCCGCCGCCGCCGCCGCCGCAGTCGACTTCGTTGGGGGCTGCCAAGCCCCGTCGAACGCGGGCACCTGGAGGTGTATTTTAGGGTTCCCACCTTTTTTTGACCCGAGAATTTTGACACAAGGCAGCTCGGGTCAAAAAAAAGTGACGGTTGATATTTTGACACGAACTTATTTCGCCGCTTGTTACCTTTCGGAGCTCAGCAGCGGCGAAATCTCGATT